GCTCAGTCGGTTGAGCGACTGCCTTCGGCTCAGGTCATGATCCTGGAGTCCCGGGATCGAGTCCCGCATCAGGCTCCCTGCTCAGCGGGGGGTCTGCTTCTCCCTCTGACTCTCTTCCCTCTCGTGCTCTCTGTCTCTCCTTCTCTCTCGCAAATAAATAAATAAATACAATCTTTAAAAAAAGAAAAAAAGAAGCAATCCTTAAAATAAGGATGACTCATGGGAGTGCGGACATCTTGGCGCTCAAACGGATCAGCACGGACCTGGTGTGGCCAGGCATCATCATGCAACGTGTCCCCTGAAAAATCTGAGCCATCTTCCCAGGCTGCTTCAACCAGCGGGGCAATTTCTGGATCAATCTCCCACGCTGTATGTGCCAAATCTAGACCGCTGTCGGAAGATTCTGGAAGGTCTGGTAGGGTTGGGTCTGGTGTTTGGTGTGTCTCTCTTTCTCCCCTAATGTGAAAAACCTTATTCTTTTAATGCTGCGTTAATTAAGCAGATGGTGTAATTAGCTAATTTTCTACACGGTGGTTGGGACCTGTTACCAGTGTGGCTGTTTCTATTGTGTCAGTATGTGAAGTATCCGGTTAATTCAATAAGACAAAAAATCAGGAGAGTTCGCAGCAGCCGCCTCCTCCCACACGGTCACAGTCACCCGTGCCTGGAAGTGGGACGCAACCTCTGCCGGGCCCACCGCCTCCCGCCGCCTCTGGACCCCGGACCCCCACACAGTGAGCGAGCTTCTGTGAAAATGTGCAGGCAGGATCTGAGCATCGCTTCCTGAGGGAGCCGGTGGAGAGCACGGGGAGTAAAAGACCACCTGCTACTCATAAAACTAAATTAGAAGACAATATCAAGGAAGAAAAAAACAGATAGGAAGAAGGTGGAGGAAAACATAAAGACAGGGGAACCATCAAGTGAGGAAAGTGATCTAGAAATTGACAGTGAAGGTGTGTTTGAACCGGATACCGATGCCCCTCAAGAAATGGGAGATGACAGTGTAGAGATGATCGAGGAAACGATGGATCAGACGAACGATCAAAAAGTGGCTGTCCTTGATGCCCGAAAGTGTGGTGAGCTAGAAAACCTCCAACTTGTTCACAGAGGCCAACAAGCTGAATCCTCGCTCGGCTGTTCTGTATATGCCAAGAGAGCCCGTGTCTTCACCAAATTACAGAAGCTAAACGCTGCCATGCGAGACTGTGACAGAGCTATTGAAATACATCCTGATGCAGTTCAGCCTTATAAGTGGTAGGGAAAAAGCACGCCGACTTCTGGGCCGTTGGGAAGAAGTAACACATGATCTCGCCCTCGCCTGTAAACTGGATTATGATGAAGATGCTAGTACAGGCTGAAAGAGGTCCAACCAAGAGCCCAGAAAATTGCCGAACGTCTGAGAAAGTGTGAGTGAAAATGTGAAGAGCGAGAGCTCAAAGAAAGAATAGTAGGAAGGGTTAAGAAGGCTCTGGAAGAACCTGAGAGAGCCCAGAGTGGGGAGGGGGAAGAAGCCAGTCCCAGGGGGCTCTCCTGGGGGAAATGCCTGGTAATTCTCCTGGGGGCGGGGAGAGGTGGGTGTGCCTGGAATGGCAGGAATGCCTGGGCTCCATGAAATTCAGAGTGATCCAGAGGTTCTCACTGCCAGACAGTGTCCAGAAGTTATGGTGGCTTTCCAGGATGTGGCTCAGAACCCTGCAAAGACATCCAAATATCAGACCAACTCAAAGGTTATGAATCTCATCAGTAAATTGTTAGCCAAATTTTGGAGGTCAAGCTTAATGCCCTCGGACAAATAAAGACAAATAAAGCCCTTGCTGAAGGAAGAGCAACTTTGGTCACCTAATGAATGTGACAATCATACAAACCAGTGGACCTCTGACCGTCCTCTTTTCACGGAGAAAACTGGAGAAATCCCCACCCCTCTGCCCCACACGCAGCTGAAACATTCTACAGTGCTTTGTCACCAGGGTATTCATTCAGATAATGTCCTCCTACTAGGAATTACACACTCGAAACACTTTTTAAACCTTAAAAATATTTAAAAACAAATGAAAAGCGTGTGTTAATCCCTACATTTTTCTTCACTAATCATTTCAGTGTTTTTCTTTTGGATTAATTGGGCAAGGAAGATACTTCGGTGTGGGAAATTTATTGCTCGGTGTGAGTGAAATAAAGGTTTATGAGCAGGAGGCAAATATAACATTTAAACAGATAAAGTTTGAGTTGGAGATATGGTTCAAAAAAAAAATCAGGGGGCGCCTGGCTGGCTCAGTTGGTGGAGTGTGTGATTCTTGACCTCAGGGTCATGAGTTCAAGTCCCATGCTGTGTGTGGAGATTACTTAAAAATAAAATCTTTCTTTAAAAAATCAGGAAAAAAGGGCGCCTGGGTGGCTCAGTCAGTTAAGCGTCTGCCTTCGGCTCAGGTCATGATCTCAGGGTCCTGGGATGGAGCCCGGCGTTGGGCTCCCTGCTCAGCGGGGAGCCTGCTTCTCCCTCTGCCTCTGCTGCTCCCCCTGCTTGTGCTCTCTTTGTCCCTCTCTCAAATAAATAATCTTTTTTTCTAAAAATCAGGAGAATATTGTCAATTACATTTCGTCCAGCAGCATTGTTGGCAGGAAACAAGATCGACACTGCATTTTTGTATTTTAATTGATGATGTGCATGTGCGTGTATGTGGAATGTCCTATAATGACAAGTGCAAGGTGAGCAGGGGTGCAGGAATATATAGCAGTTTTCTGCTCTGTAATACGTAGTACGTCCATCAGAGAAGAGTCCTGGATTCTCTCAAGCTGCACTGTCCTTTGGCCACTGTGGTCCAACGAGAGTTTCTGTGCCCGTGAGTGACAATGTCCTGCCATGAGACAGAATTGTCCTTCAGTTTTGTTGCTCTTTCACACGGAAGTCTAGGTGTGTCTACTGTTGCCTCCCTTTTTCCTCTATCTGGGGCGGAAGTGTTTAACGTCTTCCGGGGCCCGTCTTTCTGTAATCTGTCTCTGATTTAGCAAAAAGCAAGCTACATCCAGGGCCCGTTGGATGCTATTTTCTTACTGCAGTGCAGCCACAAAGCTGTGTCCTATGGGTTCCCTATCATACGTTAACACTCCTGTTTCTATGGTATTCCTTTGGTTATTTTTCCTCCTAATCCTTCAATGTTTATAGTTTTTCCTTTAGTAGGTCTTTCTCTCTCTCTCTTTTTTTTTTTTAAAGATTTTATTTATTTATCTGAGACAGAGAGAATGAGAGAGACAGAGAGCACATGAGAGGGGGGAGGGTCACAGGGAGAAGCAGGCTCCCCACCGAGCAGGGAGCCCGATGCGGGACTCGATCCAGGGACTCCAGGATCATGACCTGAGCCGAAGGCAGTCGCTTAACCAACTGAGCCACCCAGGCGCCCTCTCTCTCCTTTTTTTTAATTTATTTTTTTTAGTGATCTCTATGCCCAACGTGGGGCTCGAGCTCGCAACCCCTAGATCAAGAGTCACACGCTCCACTGACTGAGCCAGCCAGTTGCCCCTCTCTTGAATAATGATATCTGGGATCCTGTAGCTGCTAAAAATGTGTCTGTTATTATTTCTTTTCCCATGCTCAGTGCTACCTGCATATATGGCCTAGTGTCCCCGGTTTCAGTGGCCGGTCAATCTACCCCAGGGTCCTAGAGTTTTTTGTAAAAGAAGTTTTAATAAATTTCCCTTGTTCCCTTTGTCGGTATTCCTGCTCCTCTCTCTCTCTCTCTCTCTCTTTTTTAAAGATTTATTTATTTGTTTATCTGACAGAGAGAGAAAGAGCGAGCACAAGCAGGGGGAGCAGCAGAGGCAGAGGGAGAAGCAGGCTCCCCGCTGAGCAAGGAGCCTGACGCAGGGCTCGATCCCAGGACCCCGGGATCATGACCTGAGCCGAAGGCAGATGCTTAACCAACTGGGCCACCCAGGTGCCTCTGGGTCTGCTTTGATAATCCTCCCCCACCAGGGGTGATCATAGTCTCCTGGGTCCTCAGGATGGGGATCTGGGGCCCCAAGGGTGTTTTGCCCTTTAAAGTTATAAATTACTCATTATTCATTAATTATTCAATTATTCAATAATTCATTAAATTATTCATTGACTTGGCCTTCCTTATCACTTTACTAGCTAGCTCTTTGCCCCTCTGCCAGTCTTGGTCTAAGTGCGAGACGGTTTTCATCAGTAAGATGGGAACCTCCACAGTGCACGCCTGGGACACTAAGGGCTTTGCACTTTTAGGATCCTTCAGATCCATGATTACATCTCCTGGGGTCCTGGTTGTGAGCTTCTTTCTGACTTCTAACTCCATGGGGTGACATGGGTCTTCTACACAAAGTATGGCATCAGGCCTCTCGACCCTCTTCACCATCCTTAGGCATTTAGCTTGTGCCCACATCTTCCTTCCTTTTTTGTAAACTAGCAGCTGGTATATACAATTTCTTAACTATGTAGAGCTCTATTTCCCATGTATATCTAGGATATTTGTACAGATTTGTCCACAATGTTTTTGCATCTTTCTGCCAAGTAATAGATTAATTTGGCCAGTAGTGGCTTGTATCTTTGCAATGTTCCCAAACGGTTTAATTTTTCCTAGCCCTCCAAGTGCCTACCCGAGGCAATCTCCTGTGGTCTTGACTTTGGCTAGTTCCACCTCATGCCCGGCATGCCAAGGGGTGAGCCCCGGACGGGCCTCCGCTGTCGACTGCTCCTTGCATAGAGCCCACCTTGGCTTCACCTGCCCACCCCTAAGGATTTCACCCTCAGTGAGATGCCTGCCAAGTCTATATTCACATCAATTTGTTCCCCAATTTATTATTTTTAGTTCTGTTGCGGCCCATTCAAGCAAGATTCTGGCATTCTTTTCGGATTCTTCTAAATTTTCCAACACACGATGAGTCAATGACATGGAATCCTGCCGGCCACTCCAACTGTGTCCTGAGCATGGGGCGAAGGCATGCACACGAGCCGTGTCTTTCCACGATGTCGGCTTTATTCAATCATAAGGCGGGGGTAACATAATGAGGAAGCAGCTCCAGGATTCCAAACTCAATGACATTTCACCTCCTGATTGACTTGGCTTCTCACAGGGCACACGAGCAGAACACAAGCCACACAACAAACAGGAGAACAGAGGGCATAGGAAGGTAAAGAACTAGACATGAAGTCAGTCTGCAGGCGCCCGGTTGAGATGAGAACTCGGTCCGGCCCCGGGGCAGCTCTCGGCACTCACTGCTTCATAATAATGTTCAAGCAGGGAAGGGTCTCGGTTCTGTTCGGAGATCCATCGGGCAGAGCCTTGGGTACAGCTGCCTTGTTGAGGCGATCAGACAGAGAGGGGTCGTGTCTGAAGAGTCTGACAGCTTGCTGCAAACATCCTCCCCTTTTTAAAGGGGTTTAATCAGTCTCGGGCCCCTGCAGACCCGCTCTGCTTCCGTTGGTTATCAGTTCCGGGGCGTCCTCAGCCGGTGCGGGTCTCAGCGAGATCTCGTAGCTGCCGTCCCCTTCACTGCCGCTTCTTTGCTTGACACAGGCCCCTGCTTGGCATAGGTGACTCCATCTTGCTCTCTACAGGCCACCTAAGCAGCTCGTGATGGAATGGGCGTGGTGGTCAGAGAGGGCTTCCCTGAGGAGGTGACATAGAAGCTGAGAACTGTAGGGAGAAAGAACAGGAACCCACAGAGAGTGGGGCTGCTGGGAAGACCTCGGCGAGGGCAGTTAGGGGGAACTTCCAGCAGCCCCATGGGGCCCGCGTGTTGCTGAGGGCGAGGAGAGTGAGCTCCAGATGAGGCCAGAGGGGGGCAGGACCCTGGGTTGCTTAGTCAGCACCCAGAAAGAAGGAGGCTTGGCCCTCAAGCAGCCCAATCAGACCGAGAAATGTAGATAGGTAATAAATAGCCACAGATGAGTCATCTCAAGCCCTGATTTTTGAGCCTGCCTTGCAGCTCTCCTCAGCCTGCATCCTTCCCAGGAGGGGCCCCTGATTTCAAAATGACCAGGTCAGGCAGAGCTCAGCCCCCGGGGCCCCTGTGTGGGAGCTCAGCCCTGCAAGAGCCCAGGGCCCAATGCAGCTTTTCCTTGCACCACCTGTGTCCCTCTCACCTTCTCCGGACTCAGCAAAACGAAGAGCACACAGAAAACCTCTTTCATGTGATCTGTGTTGCACATTAAAAAACAAAACAAACAACAACAACAACAACAAAACCTTGTATTGATAAAATGGGATACTGGAGATAGCCAGGTGTTGTTAAAGAAAAAAAAAAGAAAAAGGAGAAGGGTTTGGAAAAGTCAGACGAAGCTGGGTTCAAATCGCCCCACTGTCCCGCTGTCCCCGCCGTCCCCGCCGCAGTTGAGCAAGCTGGAGTGAGCTGGTTAACCTCCCTGGGACTGGCTTCCCCCACTTCACAGGGCCCTGCAAAGATGAAAGGAGCTGATAAGTCTCCCTGCAGAGCTGGACGCACAGGAAGCTCTAGAATATTCATAGCCCAGCTACTACAAAGATGGGGATCTATTCTAAATATGCTATGTGTGACCATCTAGTACAGATGAGTGCCCCTGGGTTCCAGGTGGGGGTGGGGGAATGGGAAGCAGTTGCCCAGAGAGTCTCAGGACCCCCACTGGAAGGCAAGTTCTCCCGAGGACAGGGAGCTTTGTCTAATCTCTTCAATGCTTCCCGCCCCCACCCCCGGGACCTGGCACTGTAAGTATTTGTTGACTTACTGAGGACAGGCCCCCTGAGTTAGTAATAATAATTGTCAAACAATTAGTCTGGTTGATTCCGTTGCTGGAGACAAGGAGCCCAAAGGGCCTTTTAAATGGCTTACTACTCTCTGCGGGGGGAGCAGCCTGAGCCTGGTGTTTGAATGGGTCCCCTTGCCCCCAAGTCCCGCAGGGTGATGAGGCACCTGCCCAGATGAGTGCTGGGCATACAGTTGTCTGGCTCACCGTTCAGGAGACCACACACTCCCCCTCCCCGGCCCCGTCTCCTAAGACTCATCCTTTGCCCCAAAGTAACATCCTTTTTATGACCCGGCAGTGGAAGCCAATCTCCATTGAGGCTGAAGGTTAATGAACCTGTTCTCTGACCCACAGGGAGACAGGAACTAGGTCCCACGGCTGTGGGCTGTGCAAACAGACGGTCCAGGACAAAAGCCGACCTAAGATGTGTAGGGACAGCAGGGAGAATGACCTCCCCGACTCCCATGTACTGAGCGGGGACTGTGTGCCTGCCAGCCAGCACGGGAGCCCCTCTATTAGCTCGCTATTGCTCTTGTAAGAGACCACCACGGACCGGGGGGCTTTAACACACACTTATTGCTCCCAGTCCTGGAGGCTGGAAGCCCAAGATCACTGGGTCAGCAGGGCTGGGTTCTCCTGAGGCCTCTCTCCTCGGCCTGCAAACAGCTGCCTTCTCAGGGTCCCCACACAACCTCGTTCCTGCGTGTGCACACCCCGGTGTCCTTTTCCTGTAAGGCCCACTGTTGGATTGGGGCACTAAGGACCTCATTTAACCTTACTTCCCTAGAGGCCCTATCTTCACATACAGACACGTTGGCGGTTAGGGCCTCAACATACAGATTTTGGGGGGAACACAAGTCCGTCTGTAACAGTCCTCACCCATGTGAGCCCGTTTAGTCTCCCCCATAACCCGCAAGGTAGGCATTACAATAGCCAATGTTCGGCTATGAGATTGAGTTGAGAGGCCAACTGTCCAATGTCACATCCGAAAGAAGAAAAGAAGGCACCATTTTCTGCTATTCCAGTGATAAACAACCCCTCTCCCCGGCCCCTCCGCCCAGCCCCAAAGAATCTGGAAAGGAAGAGGAGAGTCACAGGATTTGGGGTCTGAAGAGTCTCAAAGCAGGAAGGGGCTGCTTTCTGCCACGGATTGTTCTAAGACTTCCCAAAACTTAGCAACTCTGAGTTAATGAGGGCATGGAGTGCCTTGCCCAGAGTCAATCTGTTAGCAGTGACAGAAGTGCACTTGAGTGGGTCTGAAGGAAGGGGGAGGAGAACCCCAAGCCCGGTGGCTCGGGGAGGGGCAGTTCAGCTGGGGCGAGCCGGCGTCAGCACCCCCGGGGAAAGCTCTGTGATCAGCTGGTGACCCCAAGTTCCTGAAGGGGCTCTTGCTACCACGTCAGGATTCTCTGTGCCCCAACACTTCTCAAACTGCTCACAGAAACTCCCAGCTGAGGAGATTGCGTGACACACTCGGGCCTTGGGGTCTGTCCACAACCCCAGGCCCCCGCTGTGAGCTCACTTCTCACCCTCACACGTCCTTCCCCCACACCCCCTCCCCCGACCTTCCACTTGGCAAACGGCTGGGCAGCTGGGGGGGGAGCTGACAAGCAAGGCCCATCCCCCCCACAGTGGACACATTGGATGGGCAAGAGCTGAGCCCGGAGGCGTGGGGTCGGAGCTACAACCAGGGGCACAGTCAAAACCACAAGAGAGAGAGAGACTGAAAAAAAATCCTTCCCAGTCAGAATGAAAAGTGAGACCGAGAGAAATTGAGTGAGAAGCTCTCGGCAAAAGAAAAGCCAAGCGTTGGCTTCCATGAAAGCAACACAACCCAGGGGGTTGTTAAATGACTAAGTGTTGGGGCCACAGTGACAATGACAGAGCCTCCTGCAGCACGTGTGCGTGTGTGTGTGTGTGTGCACGCATGCGCATGTGAGAATGCTGAGTGTCGGGGGGTGAGTGTGCAGGAGGGCGTGTGTGCACGGGGGCGGGCGTGGGGGGGTCAGTCTGCCAGGGCCGCCCTCACCAAGCGCCACACACGGCGTGGCTTACACAGCGGAAGTGTGTTGTCTCAGAGTCCTGGGCGCTGGAAGTCTGAGATCAAGGGCCGGGCGGCTCCCTCTGCGGCCCTGTCCTTGGCGTGGAGGTGGCCATCTTGCCATGTCCTCACATGGCCTCTCCTGGGAGCGTATGCCTGAGTCCAAATTTCCCCTTTGTAGAAGGACACCAGTCATGCCTGATAAAGAACCTCATCACCTTTTCAAAGACCTTATCTCCTCATCTGGTTACCTTCTGAGGTGCTGGGGTTACAGTTTCAACATACGAATGGGGGAGAGAGACACTGAAGCTTTTGCTTTCCCCCAAAAATCAAACCTGACGCTAAGAACCGAACCGTGGATGGGAGCTTGCCTGCGAGCGGCCGTCACGTGGGCCCACAAAGCACAGGGCCGGGCTTGACTCACCCCCAGCTCCTCGTGAACTGTGTTAGTTTTCCAGGGCAGCCAGGGTCACCACAGATGGGGTGACCTGAAGCAACTGAGATGGATTCTCTCCCGGTTCTGGAGGCCAGAAGTCCAAAATCAAGGTGTCAGCAGGGTTGGTTCCTTCTGGAGGCTCTGAGGGAGACTGTTCCAGGCCCCTCTCCCAGCTCCTGGGGGCCACCAGCAATCCTGGGGTCCTCAGCTTGTAGACGGGTCACTCCAGTCTCCCCCTCCTCGTCACATCCCCCTCTCCACGTGTCTGTGTGTCTTCTTTTCTCTTACAAGGACACCCCCTCCTGGAGTTAAGGCCCTCCCTCATCCAGGATGATCTCATCTCGTGAGCCTTACCTTCATTACATCTGTCAAGACCCTTACCCCAAATAAGGCCACATTCTGGGGTTCTGGGAAGATAAACGTCTTAGGGGCCACCAGTGAAACCACTTTGTGGACCCAGGGGTGTTCCTGGCTCTTCCCGATGCTGGTGGCCACCACATCTTCCGAGAGTATGGACAAGCTGGGGCCCACAGGGATGAGCAGCTCCCAGGGACCCCGGCCCCTCAGAAGGCCCCAGCCCGGCAAGGCGAGAAGATCCGATGAGCCCCCCTGACCCTGGTCAAGAGACATGGGGAGATAAAGGCCAACAAGGTGGCCCGGGGAGGGACGGCTTCTAGAGCTGGGGAGGGGGTGGGGCAGGGAGTGCATGGGGCCAGCCAGGGAGACCAAGGAAAGGTCTGGACAACAGTTCCTGAGGGAAGACAGGAGAGAGGTTTATCGCTGAAGGAGATGGATGGAGGCTTGTGTCACCTCATGCCCACAGCCGCTCTCTTCTTCTGCTGTGTCACCCAGCCCCGCACCCCGAATTGTGAGCCAAGGATTCCTGGAAGGGCCTGAGTGGTTTCCAGGCTTTGGGTCAGCCCGGCCTCGATGTTCTCAGCTGCCCACCTGGTTCTCCCAGGCATGCAAGTATGGGGGCCCACTCTGGCAGGGACATGGGGCCAGGCAGGGCCCTTTATCAACCATTTACCAGAGAAATTACCTAGCACTATCCCCTTCCTTCCCTCATTCCTTACTGTGTTTGAGGCCCAGTGGGGTAGACTCTCCAGAGACAGGTCCCCCGACTTTGCAGGACACATGGAATAAGCTCTTACTAAGTCCCAGCTGCCCCACTACGCATCTCATTAACTTATCATCTCGTTCAGTCCTCAAAAATGCCTTAATAAGGTAGGCAGCATTAGAATGCCCACCCTACAGCTGAAGAAGCTGGGGCTCCAGGGCCCACTGACTTGCCCTGAACCCCAGGCCCATGGCTCCAGGCCCGGTGCTCTGCCCACTCTGTTGGCACGGACCCCACCAATCCGGGAGAGTGTTCCCTCGAGCTGCTCCTTCCTCCCCCAGCAGACTCTGTAAAGGGGGATTGGGAAGGCTGCCAGAATTTGTTGGGAGTGGGAAAGAGGGGTCTCCCTCTGCATTGGGGTTTTCTGATGCCCCCAGCCCTAAGGGCAGGCCAGATCCCCCGAATACCGTATCTGAGATCTGGGAAATTCTTACAGCCTCTCCTGTCCCCTTTTTTCCCAACTGAGATCCCATGGGTCCCCAGCCCTGACTGGCTGAGAATGGTCCCTTCGCCTTGGGAGCTGGGACCTACAGCGCCTAGATTCCCACCCACCACCACCCCCGCCCCCGCCATTGTCCTGCCAGAAGGCAGAGAGGACTGCTGGTGCTTTCTGGGGATGGAGAGAGAGGCCCACTTCCAGCCAGACGAAGAGGACTTGAAAATGAGTACCCTGTGGTCAGGGCTCAGCCTAGTGCCACGACAGGGGGATATCCCCAGAGGCCACCCAAGCCACCATCGGGCCCCCAGTCAGTGAGGCCCAACCTCATGCCACCCCCACGGGCCACAGCACGGTCCCGTCGAGGCTGGCTTCTCCTCACGACTTCCCGCGCAGCCTAGCCAACCACCCTCACGCACCTGAGACGCTGGCCGTGGGGAAGGCCCTGGTTGCCCGCAGTCCTGTGGCTGACTCCGCCACCCGTCCTCCTCGCTGTGGGCAGGGCCCGATGACAGGACTGCCCTGCCACCTGCTCTCAGCAACAGCCGGGGAGCGAGGCTTTAACCCCATTTCCTCCATACTCCATAGCTCCTCCTCCCCGGGAAGATGTGCGCAGGAAGCGTGAATTCAGCACTGCGCCC